TGGGTTAGGCCAGGGCCACGCCACATCATGTAGCCTGCACAGGCTGGGGCATCACTGACCCCCAGCAAGTTTGGGCTAAGAACCTGCTCCCACCCCACAGCCCGCAGGGTGCCCACCCCAGGCTCAGATCAAAGCACAGCAACTGTCTGGTTAGGGGGGAAAGTCAGTTGTGTTGTCAGCCCCCCCCCAAAATTAACCCCCTAACAGCTCCCTGCCCCCCACCCCGTCTAGCTCCTTTTACTTCCGGGGTGAGGGAAGTCAGTCCTATCTCTCCTCGCTGCACTTTCACTTTCGGGTGTGCTAGGGCATGCAGGAGAGGCTGAGGCATGGACCCTCAGGGGGCTGGACCCAGGCCTGGCTGGAGCCGAAGGATGGGCTGGAGTGGGGTAGACCTTGCCCAGGGAGATTCCCCCCTCCCAGCCCAGGAATTGACAGGTGCACCCAGCAGAGACACTCGGGGGTCTAAGGAGCCGGAGCCAGAGCTGCCCCGGCCCTGGGCAGGTGCCAGGTCCCTGCCTCATTAGAGCCCCAGCAGGGAGTTGGGGCCTGTCCAGGAGTTGCCAGGCATCTAGAGGGAGGGCAATCCCCGGCTGGCCAGAGTCCAGTTACCCCAGGCCCAGCCAGACTAGTCTAGACAGATGCACTTTATCGTAGACCAGGCCAGGCCCAGGGTAGCTCAGAACAGGCCTGCCCTAGTTATCCGATTCCAGCAACACCAGTTACCCCAGGCTGGGCCACAATCAGCTTAAGCTCAGGCCAGACCAGACGCTGGTAACCCAGACCAGGCCTGACCCCAGTGACCCCAGGCCAGGACACGCCCCCCACAAACACTCTGCCTGCCTGCCTGCCCGCCCTGGCACGGTGTGGCACCCTTACCCTTCTTGAACTCCTCCAGCATGGCGTCAAGCTTGGTGTCGTGGAAGACGAAGTGCACGGGGTGGTTGTAGAACTTGGCGATGGTCTTCAGCGGTGTGCTGTCGTCAGGGTCCACGAAGGCCAGGTCCTTGACATAGAGGATGTCCACAATGTTGGAGCGTTCATCCTCGTAGACGGGGATGCGGGTGTAGCCACTCTCCATGATCTCTGACATGGTGTTGAAGTCCAGCACAGCCTCAGCGGGGATCATGAAGCAGTCATGCAGTGGCGTCATGACATCCTCCACGGTCTTGGTGCGCAGCTCCAGGGCCCCCTGGATCATGTTGAGCTCCTCTTTCACCAGGTCGTTGTAGGGCTCTGTCACCTTCAGCATCTCCACCAGCTTCTCCCGGTTGTAGACGGTGCCGATCTCCTGGCCCAGCAAGCAGTCCAGCACTTTGCTGATGGGGTAGGAGAGTGGGAAGGTGAGCAGCATGAAGAACTTGGTGAGGACGACAGTGTTGGCGCCCACGGCCAGGCCGTGCCGCGAGCACAGGGCCTGCGGCACTATCTCGCCGAAGATGACGATGCCCACGGTGGAGGCAGCTACAGCGCCCAGCCCGGAGCCGATGAGGTCCTCCAGTAGGATGGTGAGGGTGGTGTTGACCAGCACGTTGCCCAGAAGCAGCGAGCACAGCAGGTAGTTGCCGTGGCGGCGGACGGGCTCGATGCGGCGAGCGTGGCGGCGCTCTGTCTCTGTGCCGCAGTTCTGCACGATGCGCAGCTCCATGGGGTCCAGCGCCATCAGGCCCAGGTTGAGCCCACTGAACATGCCCGACAGTGCCAGCAGTGCCGCCAGCAGCGCTGCCTGCAGCCACGTGGGCAGCAGAGACCGCTTCTCCTCCACCACCACCAGGCGGCCCTCGGCGCCCGCATGGCGCTGCCACGGCTGCCCAGGTGCGGCCCGCGTGCACAGCACGTAGGCCTTGGCCCGCTCTCGCTTGCGCAGCGCCCGCACCTGCAGGCGCAGCACGGCTGAGGCCTCGCCCGCATCCCAGGTGCCCCGCTCCACCTCCACGTCGGGCGAGGGTGCGGCGCACGTGGCGGTGGG